CACAAGAAGTTGCAACTGTCCTATGCATTCTTACAGATTGCACTCCTCTTGGAGACCTCAATCGTCAGGAAAGGTAGAAAAGGCCAATCACACTATCAAAAGGACCTTAGCTAAATTATGCCAGGAACCATTAGGAAAGTGGATATACCTTTTACCCATAGCTCTTTTGAGAACTCGAATGGCATCTAAAACTATCTTAGAGCTCAGTCCCTATGAAACGACATATGGTAGACCATTCCTAACATCAGATTTTCTTTTAGATAACAAAACAGATAAAATGGTCAGATAGGTCATCAACCTAACTCAGGTGTAGCAAGCTCTCCAGGAATTTGGGAACAAGGTGTTACATTTCCTGGACTCAAAACAACTAGATTCACCTATTTGGCCAGGTGATCTTGCTTTACTTAAAACTTGGAAAGACGGAATATCAGAAAGTCAATTGCAAATTAAATTGTCCACTCCAACTGTTGTGAAGTTACAGGGAATAACTAGTTGGGTTCATCTTTCTCGAGCAAAACCTGTCCTTTATGAGTCCTTACAGGGACTCCAGGAGGACGAAAGGACTCTATCTATTCTTCAGAACTGGTGGAAGGCCTCAAGTACCTACTCAGGAGAGAAAAGTCCTGGGGGATCGACTTCCAACCAGATAAGTGATATGGCAGATATTTTAGGTTTAGTAGTTTTCCTGGTGATACTATCATATTGCCATTCGGCTATTTTATCAGACCCCTTCCTTTTGATAAAGATTTATTCTGTCTGTGCTGGGTTTAGAGACTCTTGTTATGATAATGAAAATGGACATCTATTACCCAACCATCCTTCTTTTATCACTTAAAATGGCTTATGCAGAACAGGAAAACAATGACATAGTCTATGTCCTCAATTATAGGTAAAGGAAAGAATCTTTCTGATTGCTGGATATGTCATTACAATATCATGTCCAGGCAAACACGATAAGAGCATTCCCTCATGAAGGGGACATCAATATTACATTTCCGGTTTGGAAACCTAGCCTACCAGCTATTGAAATCCATCTAGATAATACCAGACCTATGATGTGCATGAACCGGACACCTCTCCACAATATCACATCTATAAAGGTAAAGCAAAAAGTTAATTTGCACAACTTTAGGTACAGTCTGTTACCCTTGTGGAAGTCCCTTGGTCTGGACTGCCTCAGCAAAATACCCAAAGACTTTCTCAGGTCCTTGCAGCCCAAATGACACACATTGGTGTCCTGTTAATGATACCAAGAACAAGGGAATCCCAGATACCAAAGATAGTTGTATTCTGTGGGAAGGATAAAGCATGCCCCTAGGTTCCTGGAAGGTAGAGTTTGGCATTCCCAAGGCAGGATTTAGCAAGAACATGAATTCCCAGTCAGGGGAACTGCTTTCCCCAAATGCAATACTTCTAATTCCCCTGGTTGGGTATTGCAAATAATTAAGGAATTTGACACAACTTCTCCCAAAAGGGCCTGTGGTCCATCAGGATACATCTTCTTATGCACAGACCCCTCAAATTGGGCCCCAGACTTCAAATACCCAAACGGAAGGTTTTCCTCACCTCTTAAAACAAGGACCTACCCATGTATACACAATGTAGTATTTACAGGACAATGCACATTAGGACAACTGACTCCTGATGTATATTTGCCTGTAACAAAATTTACAACAGAACACACAGGAAGAAACGAGCCACTGGCCTATTAGCCGGTATCAGGGCAGTTACTGGATTAGTTGCCCTGTGGGGAGGATTTGCACATCATGAAGCCACTTTACAGAATCTAACACGGTAGTTGAGTTAGCCCAGATGACTGGTGATGCCATACAAAAACTACAGGCATCCCTGGACTCTTTAGCTGGTGTTGGGCTGGACAATTGTTTGGCCCCAGATTATCTTCTAGCTGAACAAGGGGGAGTATGTGCTGTGATAAAAATTTGTTGCATATACATAAACACTTCAAGCCAAGTAGAATAAGACATAAAAAGAATATACGAATAAGCCACCTGGTTACATGAGTTTTATAATTATAACTCTCAAAGTATTTGGGAATCAAAAAAGAATTGGGCCGGCCTGGTGGTGCACTGGAGAGTGCGCCGAGGGTTCGGATCCCGTGTGGAGACCGGTTCCCACTCACTGGCTGAGCGTGGTGCGGGCGCAACACCGAGGGTTGCGATCCCGTTGCCGGTCCCCGGTACGGGCGCGACACCGAGGGTTGCGATCCCGTTACCAGTCAGTAAAAAAGACAAAAAGGAAAAAAAACAAAGAATTACATGCCCTCAGTCACTTGTTTTTTATCCTTGTTAGGACCATTAGTGGCCATTCTATTGCTTTTGATTTTTGTTGTCCCTGTATCTTTAACCTTCTTGTTAAATTTGTCTTTTCTAGATTTCAAAAGTTGCATGTGAAAATGATGACTCTACATGGCTTCTACCCTGTTCCAACCCAAGCGCCTGAAACTGAGCTGGGGCTTTCCATCAGGAATTCAGAGATTTCTATTCCCAGATAGGCAGGGCCTACAGTCCCAATCAGCCTGAAGCAGCTATTGAAGATGGACCTTTGCTTTCATCTTCCCTTAAGATTAAGAGAATGGAATCTCCGAGAAGGGAATAAGATAGGAAATGCTCAGTTTCCATAGATTCAGCTTTCAGGACACACCTCTGGGTTTCAAGCCACTCCTCAATGTCTCAATCCCCTCCTCTAGGCTCTCCCCTACAGAAGAGTTACTGTTGCTTGTTGGACATATTTTCAGTACCAACAAGAGGAGATTGAGACCACAAGCGGTGGACTTACGCAAATCCAACAGCTCGGCATGCTCACTAGAAAGAAGTCCTATAACTTTAGTAGCTGAGCATGCTCAGTAAAAGGAATTTATACAGGCTTATATGACCCCAGTGACTGAGCATGCTCAGTGGAAGGGAGTTTATCCTTTGAATGACCTTCCACTGGAGGCACTAAAGAGCAGAGAATATTCTTGAATATGGCTAGGGCATATGATAGGATTTGATTAATGAACATACCCTAAAAGGAGAGCAACTGAGCATGTGCAAGGCTACATTACATAACAGGGAACCACCCCCTTAGACAGCATGAATATGCTTTAAAAAGCAAAATTATAAAAGCAGAATCTTGGCAAAAGGCAGGGTTATTGCTCATTTTCCTGGGTCCAACCCACATTTCACCAACTGAGATGTGTTTGCTATACTTTTGTGTTGAGCTTACTCTTAGCAGGTGGCTGCTTGCTCTCTTGAGCCAGTCTGCACTCTGTACTAAACCTCAAGTGTGTATTTCCTACTTTTGTGTTAAACTTGGTGTGGGTCCTGCTCAGTTTCTGGAGCTAGGCCACACTCTATTATTTGTTACATTAAACCTGTTCTCACTTTCAAATAAATAAATAAATAAATAAATAAATAAATATTACAAGTTTGTTTTAATATACATATAAAACTTAATTCCCAATACAAAGAGGAAATACATGGTTATTTTTAAAATGCTACAGGAAGAACTTAAAAAGTGGATCACACACTAGGATATAAAGAAAATCTCAGATTTAAAAAAAAGTAGAAACAGTACAATCCTAATTCTCTACAGTAAAAGAGAATTGCTTATTATTAATAATAAGCAATTTTAAACTCATTTTCACATATCAAATCTTTAAAGATGAAAAAGAAAATCTTGGAAGACCAACACCTTCATATGATAGATATGTAAGCTCCATGAGGTCAAGAACCAAGGGTCATGTGCATACATAATTCTGGGCTCTAAGAGTAAGCTGAGTTGGATCCTTGTCCATGCCCTCACAGTATATATCCAATATAAACTTATCAAAAAATATAAGAAGCACTAAATTATAAATGTTAAGTGATTCTTAAGGAAATTTGTTTTCAGGATATATTTTCCTAAACATTTTTTAAAAAAATAAATCTTATAAAAGATGGCCATACTAAAAAAATCAGTCTAGAAAAATCAAAAATACATTTTAAAAGGCTATAACATGGTCACAGGCTCTACAGTCTTCCAAGGTTCAAAGAAGTCCAAAAAGAATGAGTTACTGTCAAAGAAATTACACTTTGATCTAGAAAAGAATAAATTTTAACAAATTAACAAATCTGATTACAACAATAAGCTACTCATCTGCAAAGAAAAGCTTAAGATACTGTTACAGACTAAATGAGTGTCCATAAAAAATTCATATGCAGAAATCCTAACCCCCAAGGTGATGGTATTAGGAGGTGGGGCCTTTATAAGGTGATTAGTGCCCTCATAAAAGAGGCTTGTGGGAGGGCCCTTGTCCCTTTCACCCTATGAGGACACAGAAGAGAGGGCACCATCTATGAACCAGGAAATGGGTTCTCACCAGACACTGAATCTGCCAGCACCTTGATCTTGGACTTCCCAGTCTCCAGAACTGTGAGAAATAAATTTCTGTTGTTGATTAGCTACACAGTCTAGGGTATTTTGTTATTGCAGCCCAACTGAACTAAAAACAGTTACATTCAGCCAATAAGTATATAAGATTCGCTCAAGACACCAAGATCGCTGACTGAGAAAAAATTCTTCATTTTATACTAGATTCTGATCCACATACATCACCTACTTAATTAACCCTTTCCTAAAATTAATAGAAAAGGAAATTTTAAAAACACAAGTAAATGAAATAAAAACAAACAAAATATCTTAATAAGAAAGGATAAATTTCTTTAGAGAAGCATAAATTTGCCAGGACTTGAAAAGCAAAAATGTAATCAAGGAATATAAGTTTATTTCCAAAGGAGATTTTCAAATTAAGACTTTTTTTTACTGCCACTTGTAGTCTTATATAATTGCCAAATAAATTACAAAATTTAAATTAAATGACAGCTTTGTTCCAAAGAAACACTAAAACAGGACTAAATCTGGAAAAAATACAAATACAGAAAATTTAAAAACAATTTCTAAAACTTGGACATAAAGGTTTTCTACTGCTTCTGTGGGAAATAATTTTTAAAAAACCAAACCTGCCATATTCGTGTAAGTCCGTGTTCTAATTTCTTTTTAATGTAGCCACGATCAAAATTAGTTTCTTCAGTAGCCATCACATTATTCCCTTCTGAAAAAAAAAATGGCATAAATGTTTAGATTTACTTCATCATGTTTTTGTTTTCCAAATAATTTCCATCTGGCCTCTCCTATATTGTGAGCCTATGTAAGGTATAGAAAACACATCCAATATTTATACAATCAAAACAATGTCAATAAATACGTATTAGGATCACACCCATTTGGTAAAATAAATAAACACAGATCATGAAATAGGAAATACACCTAAGACTACCCAGCTCGAATGTGATTGGAGCTGGGATTCCAGCTCAGGTAGTATGGTCCCAGAGAGTAGGTTCTCAATAGCCATACACGTCCTATTGTAAGATTATGTGACAGTATGTGGCCAGGACATTACAGGACCACTTAATCCAATTATCAATTAATATGCATGTTAACAAGAGTACAGATTGCAGAACTTCTCATGCAATAAGGTAATGATACATACAGTTTATGTTTTTCATGATGAATAATATTTTTATCCATTCCAGATAATCAATGATCTGCTTCAAAACAAAGCTCCCCCTAAAAACAACTGAGAATGCACATACACATTTGTATTGAAAAGACTACACCTTTGTGTGAATAAACTGAAATAACTGAGTGTACTATCATTTTGTTTTAGGCTACCAGGGTGCCCGTCTGGTAACTACTAAAAGGCCCTTGCACAGACCAGGTCCCAGATACATGCCTAGTTTAACTCTGTGCATTGTGAGAGCTTACGCCTTATTATATGCATGGTCTGGCTGTTAGGAACCCAGAAGCATAGGGCAGTGCACCTGAACTACAGCTTTAGAGTTTTATTTTGGAACATTAAAGTGAAAGATACCAAACAGCATCAAAGAGTATCACTACAGAGCTACAGCAGATGAATTCTAGAGTCCTCTTCAGCTTTATGAAGTTTCTGTGAAGAGTTACTAATTCCTGCAATTTTATTCCTGAATGTGAATACGAAAGGATTAATTTCAGATGAATAAATTACTTTTTAAAGTCCTAGATACTATTAGCTGACTGTTAGACTAATCAGAGGACCTGAATACTGTATTCTTAAAATTTACGGATTAAGGTCAAGAAATTTTGGCAAAGAGAACTGACTATATAAGGCTCAAATTGTGTTTTAAGTTGACTCAGTACTCCAAAGAATGTAAACTATTGGCTTAAAGCAAAAAGCAAGCTTCACCATGATGAATATATAAATACTGTCCCCTAAATTCTTAACTTATATCTAAAAGCATGTGTTAATTCTGTTCCAAACTTTTCCTTTAGTTTTTCTTTAAATAATGTACTAGAAAAGGAAAAGGAGAGTTGATGAAATGTCTTAACTGTCCACTGCTAGGAAAAATACAAAGGTTGCCAAGACAGGATAAGCTTTGTGGAAAATTGGAATCTCAGTGAGCCCAGGAAAAATTCCTCAAGCAAACTGAGATTAAAAAACAAAACAAAACAAAAACCTTATCTACATTTCATTATTATTATAATTATCACTTGATCCATTCCCTTTCATGATATTAACAATAACCAATGGAGGTACCTCATACTTTCTCTAAACTTTACTGCAATCCTGCAAGGTAGATGTGTTACTTCTCTGCGGGTTTTCTTTGTTTATTTTTTAGCCTACCATTTTAAGAAGCAAACTGAACACTCAAGAAGATAAAGTAATTTTTTCAAGTTCTCACCTTTGGAAAATGGCAGTGAAAAATTGAAGCCAGACCTCTCAAATTGCAAAGCCCATGATCCCAGAAGTAACACAGAGTTGAAAATATAAGGGTTAGGTAAAAACAGTCTGGCCTGAAATCTTGGCTCAGTGCCCACCCCTCTCTCTGCTTTCTCCTCTTTCTCTCCCTTCCTTTCCTTTCCCAACAATATTTCTAAATGGATGAAAATCCATCCATAAAATTTCACTCTCATTTTTTGTTTTCTATATTTATGACCTTCTTATGAGTCAAGACAAAGATTAATGTCTTCTAAGCTAGTGAAATCAAACAATGAGATGTAAGTACTTCCTCCACCCACTCAACCATAGACACCAAGCACCCTGGAAATTAGAAGTTATTAAAATAACTTGGTTGAATAGCTACATTAAATTATAAGTATACAAAAAAACTTGTGCAGTATAATTTATTTTAAACAAAATGCTGATAAAATCATTTATTGCATTTTAAAGTATTTTGAATACTAAATATTAGCTATTTTTCAAGGATAATCACTTAAGATATAAAATTATACAAATGAGGCAATTTAAATAGAATGCCTAGTAAATATATTGATTTCTCAAAGACTTGTTCTTATTATTTAGCTGACTATACCACAGTTGTATTTTCCATTCAAAGACGAATATTTTAACACTTATTTTTAATATAAAATTGTAAGTCTTGCTGTATTTTCAGGAAGGAAAGTATGACTATAGTTAATTTATAGAGCATGGTGCTGCTGATAACACCAAGATCAAGGGTTTGGATCCCTGTACCAGCCAGCTCCCTGCAGCCCCCCAACCCCCAAAAAATTACACTTTGGAAAGACTACCAAGGACCTCATTACAGTCCCACTAAACTCTCCAGAAGGGACGATCAAATGCCTAAGTCTTTCTGTAGCAGTCAGCACTAAGACTTATAAGCACAAAATAAACACACACAGCAAATAAACAGAATCTAGCTTTATTAATACAACTTGAAAATTAGCAAAGTAGACTAATATTGAACATTAAGCATTTCATAGTAAATTTGCAGACCAATATCTTACCTAGTTTACAACTAGCAATATTAAAGAAATTAATTAAAAAAAACAAAAAAAAACTCTCCCAATAATTCAGTCCTAAAGCCATCAGCAGTCACTCCTAGAAACTGGTACTAGCTGCCACTTAAAAAGTCCTTTGGTCCAGTTAATTCCCAAAGTTAATGGTGCTGTTATAGAAGCTGAATCATTTCCTTCGCTGAACATTTAACCTATAGTTACTATAGTCCCTAAAATCCTAATGGCATGCCTGCTCCTTTTCTTTCTTCTTACTCTAGAAGTGTGGCATGTTTATAGTTCAATTTAAAAAAAAAAAAAAATCAAAGTAATCTCCTACCAGAAGATGAATCGGTATCCTCATTGTCATGCTTTTCATGCCATTCCATAGTCCTGTAATAGCTGAGCATAACTTCCCACAGTGCTTTGCACAGGTCTGCAAGGCATGGAATATAGCTGTCTGGTGTAACGTGCTTAAGAAAATGAGAAGAGCCAATTTTTGAATTATTATGTTTAACACTTACAGTTAATCACAATAAAATGTTATGTTATTAATCAAATTCATTAAAAATTTAAGAGATAACTAAGCAAATTTCTCCCACTAACATATCTAAGGAGAAAATTCAACAGTAAGAAAATTTTTTTCAAGTAATTCTCATTTCAACATGGCTTTTTAGTACCCATTAGGAATATCAGTCCATTTACTGCAAATCAAATTGTAGTCACAGAACCATAAAGTCTATAAGAAATTACTGAATTAGTAAATGTTCTCATAAATAGCAGCATAAACTTCCCCAAATGTATTTTTTCAAAGACATGCTTCTAAACATGCAAACACAACTTTATATTTATCCTCGGACCTGAGTCACAACTTACAAAAATAAAGTTGGATTTACAATTCAATCATTTGTGTAAATTAAGTAAACACCTTTGACAATCTCTAAATTCTTTAAATCATACAGATACAGATAATCTATATCCAACAATAACATATTAAAGTAATGTTTTACATAAACAAGGCTATGAAAAATATGTGATCCCAAATCTTATCCCTAATGGAAATGCATGGATTTTTTTCCTCTCTTTCCTGTGTAAAAACAATCAGTGTGCCACTCTGTCCTTTTTCTATTCTATTTTGCAGGCATATTACATATTTTGCATGTCATAATACAGCATTTGCTTTATCACTTGAGATTTCTAGCATTTCTTTAGTTTGTGATCAATCTACCAAGACTGATCATGCTGATAAAACATTGAAAGGCTAAGACTCTGGTGTAAGTAAGCTCTCCAAGGTAAACAGCTAGTTCTAATAAGCTATAACACGTATAGCTACCATGTGATTGGTGCTCAGGATGTCACAGTTGGTAGTGGTCCTCTTTCAAAAAGCTTTTCTCCCCATAATGATCTCTTCCTCCTCTAAACTCCTCATTTACTAAAACATCTATTTAGCAATTAATAAAAGTATTAATTTATAAGACTTAGAACACTCTCATGTTAGCATGTCAAGTCTTTGAAATTAAATTGGGAAGTAGTAAAATAAATCTTATAAAGTCTATTAATACAATTCATTCTATTAATAGGTCTAAGGAGAAAAACCAAACGACTATCTCAAAAGATGCTGAAAAAAAACCTTTGACAAAATTCAACACCCATTCCTCATAAAAACTCATGAGAAAATAAGAATAAATGGATATTTCCTTAAGATGAGGAAGCTCTAAGTCATAACCACTGTGGCCTGGAAAAAAGCAAGGATGCCCCTATCTCCATTACTATTTAACAATGTTCTGGACGGACCAGCCAATGAAATAGAGAAAACAAGGAAAAGCTAAAGAATAGGAAAAGAAGAAATAAAGCTGTTTCTACCTTACTATTAATTTACATCTGGAAATTTCTAGAGAATCAATGACAAAACTAAAACAATAAAAGAATTCATCAAGGTAGCAGGTTATAAAATTAACATGCAAAAAATAATAGTGTTCATATACAAATAATAACCAATTAGAAGATATACTGAATGAGAAACCTCCACTTACAATAAGAAGAGACAATATTTTTAAGAATAAATTTAACAAGAAATTATCAAAAACTCTATGAAGAAAACTATGAAAAACTCCTGAAAGACATAAAAGTAGACTTGAACAAATGGAAAGGCATTCCTTACTTTTGGTTAGGATGTCTCAATGTCATCACAATGTCAGTTCTCCCTAAGTTAATTTATAAATTTACTGCGATACCAATAAAAAAGTCCAGAAATAGATCCAGCCTTGTATAAAAATCTGGTGTACGATAAAGACAGCATCTCACATCACTTAGGTGAAGATAATCTTTTTCACAAATAGTGTTGGGACAACTGGATAGTCAGTTGGAAACAGATAAAATTAGATCCACTCCTCACACCATACACAAGAATAAACTCCAAATGGATAAGAGATCTAAATGTAAAGAACAAAACTATACTAGCACTAGAAGAAAACATAAATCAATTCTTCTCTAACTTTGATATAGGAAAAGCCTTTCTAATTACAACTCAAATTCAGAAGTAATTAATAAAAACAGAATTTGCATGGCAAAAAAACACTATATGCAAAGTCAAAAGACAAATGACAAATTTACAACATATATTCACAATAAAAAACTAATAGCCCTACATTTATAAAGAACTCTTAAAAGTTTAGGAAAAAAGACCAAAAATTCTATAGAAAATTTGGAAGAAGGCACATGAACACACTTCTCAAAGAGAGGTATGAAGATGAACCTTAAAAATGAAAACACATTCAACTTTATTTGTAATAGGGCAAACATAAATATAACTACAATAAGATACAAATTATCACCTATCAGATTGGTAAAAATTTTAAAGCTGACCACTAAGATTCTCTCCTCAACCAAACTCTATCTGTGTTCCTCTTGAGCCCTCTTCTCAATGAGGCCTCAAGCTTGGCCTAAAAATACTTGAACAAAACACTAATACAGTTTCTAATGGCTCAAGGCTGCATCCCTAGGATGACCCTAGCACTCCTTAAAGTGCCTGCCTGAGAAACTCAAGGCTGCCAAAAGAATTTACTGTTTGTTCTAGCTAACACCTGAAAGGCCCCATTCTCCCAGCCTCTGTGGGAGGGGAGGAGCCTAACTTCAATAGGCACCAGTTGGCAAACCCAGATAGGTTTCACATGGACCAACCCCCTTCTCACTTTTTGTAATTCATCACCACTTCTGTGACTTTACTAAGCTGCCAATCACCCCACTTCCTATTCCCTCATTCTCCCTCTAAAATGTCGTCACCCCTGTACAAATCGAGGTTGAGTCCCTACTGCAATAGTATATTACTAATTAAAATCCGTCTTTAGCACTTTAGCATCTGGCTGTGTTTATCTCTGACACCATGTACTCTGTTGGCAAGGCTTGAAGAAACAGGCACTCTCATACACTGCTGGTGGGAACGCAAAATGATACAACCCCATTCCCAAGAAAGGGAATTTGGCACTATCTAACAAAACTACATGTGTATTTTCCCTTTGACCCAGCAATTCCACTTCCAGGAATTTTTCCTGAAGATATACCTCAATGTACAAACACATATGCACAAAGTTATTCGTTAAAGGATTATCTATAATTGCAAAGTATTGGAATCTATCTAAATGTCTGAACAAAAGAGATTGGTAGAATAAACTATCATTCATACACACAAAAGAGTACTATGCAGTTGTGAAAAAAAGTAATTTGGGGTAATTTCTCAGGCTTATTTTTATAATTGCTACATTTAAAATGAACCTGTCTTAGTTTTTTTTCCTTGGTTTATTTTTACCACATCATTTCACCTAACATCTGTTATACCACACACATAATGAAAACCAATATCGATGCACAAAGTCAGAGTAAGGCTAGAAGCAGAGGACAAAGAAAAGCAAAAATCACAAAACATGCTGTGCTGCAACTCAGCAATCATTCACCCAAATAAAGGCACTCCTCTGCAAGTCAATTTTTCTAACTTTCATAAACTCAACTTTGCACAAACTTATATCATGCAAATAAATTTAATCTAAGTATCCTAACATTCTTTCTGGTAGATAATAAGAAGGCAGAGTTAGTCATATTTTTTCCCAAAGAACAATTACTGCTATACAAATAACTGTGTTATAGTCCACCAATTAATTTTTATTACTCCTGTCACAGTTTAGCAAACCAGAATATTGAAACTTAGACCTAAGACCTACTACCTTCTATTCTCCATCCAACCACTGTCTAGCTACATTATTTGCCTATTTATTCGAGGAAAAGGAGGTCCTTTACTATGTTTTCTCTTGAGGATTTGCTGAAATTTAATGGGTTTGAATAAGATATAGACACAGAAATATGTATGTAAAACGTTTTCAAAAAAAGTTGAAATTATGTAATGAAGGTATATAATAAGTTCTTCTCACTAAAATGTGCAGTGTAAATAATTAGCAGATCTAGTTAAACTACTGCGTATGCCCAAGTCTCCCAAAAGAACCCAAATATTATTATCTTCAAATATATTCATATACACAAACATAAGACTATGATACATTCAGCACCAGATAACAAGATAATTCTTGCCTAAGTTTACATTCTAGAATAGAAACAAATGTAGAGACCATTTTACTAAATACATACAAGTACAATAAATAGTTTAAGAAAAAAAGGCAAGGTAGGGTAAATTAAAAAATAATAACAATAATAATGCTTTAAGTAGAATTAAACCCAGATACGTTAATCTCTGTACTTGAAGACTTATTGCTGGCAATAAGTTAAAAGAGTCATTTCATTTTAAAATTGGACCACTCTCCACTATACCATGCAACCAACTGGTATCAACTCTAACAGGGGCAAGTTCTTCTCATGCTTTAAATACCATATAACTAAAATCATTTGCCAAATGTATTTTCTAATTACTTTATAAAATCACCTCCAAATTTCAAATAGAGAATCTAATTACACAGACAAGCACGAACCATAACCAAGAAATTCAAAGAAACCAACATATAGGCAAATAACTGCATAAGTAATCAAAAAATAAAAAGTGGGCCAAGAAGAGGACTTGAATTTCTGAATTAACAGCCCATACAACTTCCACTCAGACATTAGTTCTTCATAACTGCAGAGCAAAATCGAGAGACCAAGGCAAGGAATTGAAAGATTTAGATTTAGCACTCTAATCACATCCTAACAAACATAAAGGGAACAGATGTTTTGGAAACCTCACAGAAATTCAAAACTCTCAGTGCCTTCCACCAGCCCACCCTCACCCCCACCCCCCACCCCCCCCCCGCTGCAACACTGATAGATGGGTTTCAAAAAACAACAAAGGGGGCCGGGCTGTGGCTCACTTCGGAGATAGTGGTGCTGATAACACCAAGGCCACAGATTCAGATCCCTATATAGGGATGGCTGGTTAGCTCTATTGGGAGAGCGTTGTGCTGACAACACCAAGTCAAGGGTTAAGATCCCCTTA